GCCTACGCTTGGGTCAACATTTGTCCCTCGTAAGAACCCGGTGCCCAGAAAGAGGTGGTCTCCACGGAGGCAGAGACGGCCAAGCCGGGGTGGGGACGTCCGGGACCCTGAAGTTAGGAAGTGGGGCTGTGTGACCCTGGGGGGGGGTTGCCTTCCCTCTCTGTTTGGGGAGGTGGATGGGAGTCTCCAGGGACCCCTGGCGAGGAGTGGTTTTATCCCTGGCCCGGGGGGCTCCTCCTGGAGGAGGGGCCATTTGTCCCCCCTCATCCCCACGTGGCTCAGCCCTGAGCACGGCCTGCAGCAGCTGGTGATCCCGCACGCGGGTCCCCGAACGGGCCCGGTGGAGACGCCTCCTTCTACGGCTGGGGCAGCGGGGCTCCTGGGCTGCGTGCCCAGTCGGCGCACGGGTGCCAGGCACGTGCCCGTCTCACACGCGCTCTGCTCCAAGAGGGGCTCCGGGGTTACCGCCTGGGGCCCTGGTCTCTGAAGGGCCCCCCCCGCTGCCCGCCCCCTCCTTGCTCTGGTCGAAAACGAGGGACTGGCCGCCCAGCTCTGTGCCTGGCACGTGCTCTCTCTTCTTCCTCAGGACCTGGCGGTAGGTTTGGTTTTGGTGACAGATGAAGAAGAGACTGAGGGTCTGAGACGCGAAGAGACTCGACCAGTGACTCAGCCTTTGGTTCAGAGTTCCGGAGCCTGTGGTTGTTGGAGCGCATCCCGTGGTGCATCATCAGAAGGAAGCAGGCAACTCTCAGCCCGGGGTCTGGCACCGAGCCCTCGGCTCTGTGAGTCCTCCCTCGACCCCCGTATGGGGGCCATCGGTCTCGCTTTACTTTCGACCAAAACTGGGGCTCCAATGAACTCACCCCAAATCCCCAGCGTCTGAGTGGGGGGCTGGGGGTGGAAGCCAGGAGTTGACCGACAGAACGTGCCCTCGGGGCCACCAGGCCTGCTGCCCCAGGGCAACGGGGAGGTCCCAGCGGGCAGGGGTGGGGCGCTGGGAACCCCGGGCGGGAGGGGTGAGGGCCACAGCTGGAGGTCAGGGAAGGCGCGGGTTCTGAGGCAGGTGGTGGCCCCCGAGTGACCTGCCCAACAGTCCGACCCGACACGGGGAGGCTGCAGGCCCAGCGCGGGTCGTCAGGTCGTCCTGTTTTCAATTACAGCGCGGCCTCCTCCCATGTTCCCCTCCCAGCGACCGCGAGAAGCCAGTTTGGGGTCAAGGTTAGAAGCTTCCCCGGCTTCTGCGCCCGCTTCTGGAAGGCTCTCTGCTGCCCCCTGGTGGGAGAGGCCGGGGCGGGGCCTGCAGGCCGCCTCTGAGCCGGGCA